GATAAGAATTATGTTAAACATATTACTAATTTATGCTTAATAGACTCTCACTAATTAGATAAGTATCGCTTGACCCAATACTAGATGTAGTTCAAGGTCATTTAAGAGTAAATTATTTTTTTATTAAAGCTTAGTCAAACAAGATTTTAAAATAAATTATCAAGTGTAGAATTTCACAGTTCTGTAGTAAGGTGCTCCAAATTGAACTTACAGCAACCTTTAGCAGTTATGGTACTTTTATTGTGATGAATTTTGTTTTGCTTAGGATATTTCATTTGTACTACTTTGACATAACAACAATATTTCATTTGACAACTTTGACACAAACAATGAATTAGTCGTAGCACTATTTGTGATTCTTACTTTACATTTTATAGAGTGTTAGAGCACCTGATATAGTATATATAGTAATATTTTTCCAGAACAAATCTTTACACGCTTATATATGTATCTTCTATTTAAGGCAAATCACGACATCAACGAATGTAGTCTCGTATTGGAGGCAGTTTTAAGTAAGTAGAACTCAAAGAAGAACAATATAACTAAATAGAATTGAGACAATGAAGTTAACATCTTAAATTCTCACCATAAAATGTTTGACAGTAATAAAAGTTTTTAACCCCGAAGCTTGAGTTTACGACTTCAGTCAAGTTGTAAAATTTACTTTGACTTTAATTCAAAGAATTAAACATAGCCATGTGTAATGAATGGCTTCTGATCTGCAAAGTTTTTATGTCCCATAAATTATAATTCAAGTAAGGCCTCTTGTCTAACATAAACTGAATTATCAGCCATCAGTTATTACATAAAGTTTTATGTAAAAATATACCGGTTTTTATTAAAGAAAAACTTTATCTATTCTTAAATCCGTAACAACTTACCTTGACCAACTCAATGTGTTAAAGTTACATATTATGAATAAACGCATGCTTAATAATTACAAGTGTGCGCATTTTTATGTTTAAATATAATTTGTATACATTTAAAACAAAAGTAAGGCAATGGTTTTTATGCAATTCTACATGTATGCAGATTGTGTTTACTTTTTCCCATCCTGTCTTACCCCTTCCCTTTTTCCTCCTTTTCCCACTTTTTCTCTCCCTCTTCCCTAATCATGGGTAACACATCCGCAAAACTATGTTGCGGATATTCATGGGCTGTCTATGGCATGTCCATGTACCTCCATCACGTAGGCCGTCTGCTCGGTTGCCCTGTTTAGCATAAAAAAAAATTAATAAGTCAAAGTCTACTAAGTATTCGTCTGTAAGTAGAACTTTGTTAAGAAGCAACTATAATTTCATTCTCAGGATATTACTTATTATAAGTATTTCCTTTCTGATCTATATTTCTTTAGTAACTATTGTCTTATTCTTCATTACTTACAGACCCCCCGATGGATATACATATTTTCACGATGTTATCATAGTAGTTAAGATGCCAAAAGCGTCATTGTAATTATTTATTAGTCTTCTTAACCTTGCATTCTGTCCGAATCGAAACAATCTACCATTACCCGTCACTTGGACATGCATCATTACTTTCCTTATTACCAAGGCTCTATGTTTTGTCCTAACAGTCACTTTAATTAGTCATCCTATAAATTCGCCTATGAATTAACACCATTCCCAAACATTGATTTGTTATGATTTAAATAAACCTATTAACCAAAAACAGTTTTTAACAGCAATTTACAAGTTATATTTATTAATTTATATGGGTTAATGCTCTTTTTATCTATGGTAATGAAAATATCTTTTACTCGAGCGTAGCGAAATATATTAAACATAAATAATGATTGCGTTTATTTAAAAAAGTCGTTATTTCGCAGACGGCGCTGCGTTATAGCCTAGTATGTAATTACTTGAGATATTTGAAAGGTATTACAAATCGGTACACTTTAAATCCTCTCTCTAAACCTGTTTACGTTTTCCGCCTTCAAGTAACCATGGCAACCAGTCACGTCATCTTGCCCTTTACAAGATGCTAGATGGAATTGTTTCACAATATTAAGTTGCACAACTATTTGTATTCATACCGCCTATATTGAGGAATGAGGATATCCCGATTGCGCAATCTTAAAATAACTAATAAAAACTAATTTGGGGATTTTTGTTGTACATTATCGAACTTTTTGTTACTGAGCAAATAGATTAGATGAGTTCAAATCCGTGTTTACTTATGCCATGAACGTGGTACTTTTAATATTTTAATGTTATTAATTTAGTCTCTGGTTTTTTTTTTAATTTTTTATAATTTTGCCTCTTAAACACCACATTATCATATGTTCATTACTTTAAGATGAATACTTTTAAAGGACTTAGAATAAAGTTTGAAAAATATTTTTGTCGAACCATATAATATAAGGGCATAATATTACAATATGGGTACATGTAAAGGAACAAAAGGAGTTTTAAGGGATACTACATTCCCTTTGGAAATTAATGAAACATTTAAAAAAAATATCGATAGGGATTAGGAATACGATATTATTTTTGAGTATAATCTTGAATATGCACTTATATATATATTTATTTTTTTAATTTTAATATTTGATATACTTTTATATGTATATAATTGAAGTATTGAAAGCGTCACTATTATTTTGTCAAATTATATTAACTAATTTATAAATTTTATCAACGATGTTCTCGACCTTCACAAGGCACATTCCGTTTCCGTGTATTGTTAATAATAATTGTTATATCATGTAAAAGTAAAAAACTGGTATTCTCAATAACTTTATCGTTAGATATTATTTTAAAATAACTTGTAATAAAAATGACATACTTATGTAAGATTATACAATATATTGCAATGTTCCAAAATAAAAAAACGTGCATTTTCAAACATTATTTGATTAATTTAATTTAATTTATTCATAGTACCATTAAATAAGATTTCATAGGAAGTTGTTAACAAAATGTTTATTATCAATATTCTCTTAAATCTCATATTGATAGTAAAAGTATTTTTATAAGTTACATAATGACTAAAAGTCAAGTACGATATTATGAATAGTAAAATGCTTAAAAACAAATTTGATATGCCACAGCAAATCAGCTGATCGGTCAACGAAATAGTAATGGCGACTGTCATTGACACACATACTGCCGTAAAGATACGTAATGCGTACTTATTACGGAAAACATACACGTATTTGTGATGGTTTTGCGTTTAAAAAGTGTAATGGACAAATGTAAACATTACTCAAGTTACTACTTGTTTTATTTCGTTTCTAGAATTCCAGGGTTGTCTGTTATGGTGACAAAATCATTTACAAATTACTATTTCTCTTAATGTACAACCCTATTATAAACAGAAGTTTTAGATATTGTTTTGTTATATATTTTATTTATAACAAATTGATATAATTGCATAAACCATATCCGGGTATATGATTATAATTATATTTATTGTATATAAATATTCTGTCATCGCAGTTACTAAGACGTGATTTAACTTAACGCAAATCAATATTCAATACGCTCTCATTATTATAACGGATCTCATAGTTGTTATAAATAGTTTTACATAAACTTAAAAATACTTATATAAGATGCATTTATATTTAAAACCTTGGATTTTAAAATCTATCAGAATAAGACGTGAGGTCATTCAACGGAACGTACATACATCTGTCACGAGCTGTTTCGACATTCTGATTTTAGCTCTAAACAAGCATAATTTATTATAACCAGCTTACATGTACTTGAGAAAATGTTATACTTAAATAATGTAAATGGAATTAATATAAAATATTAATGTTTAGTATTCGCAACTTACGATCATTAGTCTCGATAAATTTTAACTCCTTGATCTATTCGAATATGTGTTCCAGTTTGTTTCTTTCTACAGAGTTTGGTTACATGAAACTTGTATCGGATAAATATGAATCGCAAAACGAGGAGTTATAAATAAATTCTTGGTTTAATTTTTTGTTACTACAGTTGCAATATGTTGCGATATATATATTATTTACAAAATTTTATATTAATAGTTCATCGAAAAATACCCTAAAAATTTTATTCCCGAAAGTATCAAAATTTGTATATAAGAATAAAAATATACATATGTCCAATGCGGTATAAATAACATTTCCTTATTTGTAGGTGAAGCAAGTTTTTTTTATTGGTTTAATTGTGATACCTAAATATGGATATGGTTTTGAATTAAACTTAATATTTCTACACGTCTCCGACAAAGATTGTTTTGACAGTTCAACCCAGGTTAAAACGAGTTAATAAAGTATTTTCGTATTTTTTCCGTTTTTCTTTTAGAAACGATTCGAGTAGAAAATGAAAATTTCATTTTGTATATTAATTTCTTTGTAGTTAACAGGTTTATTTTATTGCGTACCATTTAAAATCCTTTTCATTTTTAATTTTCCTTTTGCAGACATGCTATTAAAATTTAACGGTCACTTCCAATATACTGCAAAAGTATACATTTTAAATTAACACTGAAGTCTATATATGAATGCAAAATTTATGCTCCCAAATGAGGTTATTTTCGTAAATTTTAAATAATGATTATTTCTATTTTTTGTTATATTTATGTGGTTATTTATATTTTAATATCTAACACCTATAAGAAGACTTTTTATCAATGTTGAAATAACGAAATAAACACTCAATTTATTTACTTTTTCGTAAGTGTGATAAATAAATAATCATCACTTATTGTTTATTTAAGCTCCGGTTAGTTCTGTATTTTATTTTCTTCAATGTTTTTTTATAAAAACTCACATAAATTAACAGACGAAGATAGGAAAAAGAGGGAAATGAAGTATATACTTTGTATACACAAAATTTTCTTCGATTTAAAAATGATTTTTACAAAGTATATATATATATAATTCCTTTTACTACTTCTTCTTGTAACTATTCAATCACTCAAACAGTCTCGCTTTTTACATTAAGGAAACGTTCTATTTAAGTTAACTTAATTGATATGAGTTCTTTGTTTTAAGCCAACTAAATTATTTTGTTTCAGAAATCACAATGTATAGACCGAAGGTTTGCGACATTGTCTGCCTCCTAGCCTTGGCTGTGTCAGTCAGTGAGTATTACTCAATGTACAGCAATTAGACGTCATTTGCATTTAACATTAGCTATTCAATTTGTTCTTTTTATTAGCATTTGTGAATATTGGATAAAATCTATATATTTACTCTATTTATGGAACTATGATTCAGACGGGGAATTTGTTGCAAGAAAGCCGATTTTAAAATTCCCGGAAACCGGTTTTCTTTCCCATGTTTACGAACGCTTTCTAGATAAAGGGAATCCCCGTGCGGTTCTTATTAGAGTTTGCCAGCAAGAAGTTTTGCGGATATTTACAATACTACCTAAATTTGTGCCAGATATTATCTCCGGCTTCGCTCGCCTTTGAAGTGCACTATACAGATTTTCCATGTTAAACATTTACTTGACCGAAGTAGCTCTGAATTATTCAAGCTCTAAGGCAATAAAATAAATGTATAACATTTCATATATTTTTTTATTCAATATTTAGAACTATAAAAATATTATATAAACTCTCATTTTTCTCCGAAATATTTGGTTGGAAAAATACAATATATGTATAAACAAATGTTAGCAATCCCAATATTTGGTTTAGTATACGTTGAATAAATAGAAATGAATAAAATATGAATGAACCTAGAAATATACATTTTGTAAAAAATAAAGCACAAGCTTCCAAGGGACAATTGTTATTAAGTACTTTGCCGTGTCTGGTAGTGATGTCACAATTCTTATAACTCAAATACTTTCAGTCAAATGTTCACTACATTTTGGAAGATTGCGGTCTTTGGGACTTTTTTTTTGGTATTGAGATGAAATTGCAAATATAACTGTAGACCCTGTATTCCCAACTAGAATATTGATAAAATCCAATAGTTTTTGCTTATGTAAAAAAAATATTAAGAACAAAGAAGATGTTTTTTGAATTGTAAAGACTACTTTCTTATTTGATTTGTGACAGTGTTAAAATAGTGTCATATTTTATAACATCAAACAAAGCTTTCTTAAACGTAATAATATTTTATTATGATTTTTTAAATATTTAAAGTTATTTCTTAACTGTGAATATTGAAGTTTTCATGGCTAGGTTTTTTATGTGAAAACTCAAAAAATCATGCTTTAGGATTTGCAATTACATTTGTTTTCATTTATATTTTTTTAATTACTTCCTTTAATTGCTTGTTTAAGGATAATAACAAGAAGGTTACTTCACATAGTTAAATGAGATTCATATTTTTATTATTACAATACAAATGTAAGTTGATCTGTTGTAAAACAAAAACCTTTTAGTCTAAGTTGTAAGGATTTATAAAATATTTGAATCCTTTAAATTTTATTGAATAGATAATAAAATTTAATTGGTTGATTGTTTTATTATTTTAATAAATATTTTTAGAGTCATACAAAATATAACAACCAATTAGTAGTTGAAGTTATTTATAAATGGCTTGAAAAAAGATGTTTCTTAATTGAAAGGTTTTTATGTAAATTGGTGTTTAGCTTTTTTATTTTTTTAAGTCTATTTTAAAGCATTCTCGTTGTTTTTTGTTTCTTTTAAAATAGTTTTGATATTAATTTTATAAAATCTAACTATAGCTTGGGCAAAGTTGAATAATATAATTCTTAAAATTTTTCAATCATTCCAATTTATTTACTAAAGTTTATATTCATATAGTATTTTAATCTTGGTAGCCGATGGATTTTGTATATCTTTTTACTATGAGTGTTTTATTAGTATGAAATTTCAATATTAAAATACTTATATGTAACAAAATATATAAAAATTTAAATAACTTTAGAAAATTGTATGTCATTATTCTAAATCAAATACGGTTTAAGTTTATAGGAATTATCACAGAAATTATTTTTTTGCAAAATAATATTATTTGTATATATATTTTTTGTATTAAAGTCAAAATGTTTACTGACCTTTACCGTTACTGTTTGTTATGTAAAAAATATTTTTCTATCTTTCTTTGTATAATATAATGTTATTTTTCTGTAATAACTAAAACAGTAATATAAAATATTACAAATGAAAATATATTTGTATCAAATAATATATACATAAATTTTATTTGTTTTACAGCTTTAAAGGCATATTTTTAGTTTTTCAATTGCTCTAAGGACTTTTAATTTAAACTCTGATTTGTTTTAGATGCAAAAGGCCTTAGTGTTGCAGATAATGGTATGTTAACAGTGACGTACCCAACAGATTTAGACACAACAACAGAACAAGTTACAACAGAAAATATTATAAACACAAACCAGACCATTGTTGAAAATCAAAATACCTATATAGACAATATCACGAACAAAAATGAAACACCAAACATAAAAGTTATAGATAATGGTGAAATAAAAACTCCAGAAAGCGCTAACAAAGTTATTCAACCAATTGTAACAAACTTATCATTTAATAACGTTAAATATCAAGCTAACGCCAAGCAAGAAGCCAAAGAGGTAAAACCTAAATTAAGTATAGCTGATATGTTGCAACGTCAGAGAATTCAGAAAAAGAACGATATAAGAGCCCATGTTCAATACGATGAAGTAACTGGAGAATTGATGGGTGGTGATCATCCTTGTCATCGCGAGTGTAGAGAAGGGGAGGATCCAATGATTTGCTATTATCATTTCAATCTAGAATGGTATCACACTATGAGCAAGGCGTGTTATAATTGTCCTTACAACCCCGATGATTGCAAGCTTTTAGATTGTATACCAGCTGACGGAATGAGCAGACCCCTTAATGTTATCAATAGGAAGATGCCTGGACCTGCTATTGAGGTAAAATATGACCATATAGGCCATTATATTTTTCAGTATAATATGTTGCAATCAGGTGACTAATTAGCCGTAGGTAGTAATGAATACCACGATTTTAATACAATTCAATTGTTTCACGAAATACCTATACTACAGTTTTTATAAATACAAGATACACTAACAAATTATCTTAAAATTTAATTTAAATAATCTTGATAGAAGTAGGATTGGAATTTGCGAATATTGGGTTGTAGTCAACTAAACTATTATAAGTAAATTAGATAAATTATTTACTTTTAATTTAATTAACTAATTATATATAGGTATGCCAGCATGATAGAATAATTGTGGACGTCGAAAACGACTTGATGACTGAGGGCACGACGGTTCATTGGCACGGGCAGCATCAACGGGGAACTCCTTATATGGATGGAACACCATACGTCACACAGTGTCCTATAATACCTGAATCAACTTTCAGGTAAGCACAATAACGATAAGCTATATGATACTGCTTTTAACCTATAAGAGTTATTACACCTTAAAGTTTAATCGGAATACTTTAATTAGAGTGGATTACGCTTTAAAAGTTATGGTTTTATCAAGCAAATATTATCAGGTATCAATTTAATGCGACACACTCTGGTACACATTTCTGGCATTCACACTCTGGGATGCAAAGAGCCGATGGAGCAGCCGGCGCGCTTATCATACGGAAACCAAAATCTCAGGACCCTCATGGCGCTTTGTATGATTACGACAGGTGAGGTTCTCTTAGATTGGTAACTAGTATTTAAAGTCAAAAAGCGGTAAGCTCTTTAAGCAATCAATTGCAATTTAGGGTAATTGCTTGAATTATTTTCTTTATAATCGGTAATTTTCACCATGAAAGTATTTTTTCATATAATCATTAAACATGATAAAAAATTATTTAGATATATTTAATACTTTGTAAAATATCTTTCAAACAATATCTGTTATAGTCATTGTATTCACTTGTATATAAGAAAATTTAATCTTGTAGCTCAGTAGTCCCCAAACTTATTTTTCTCGTGGACCACTTTCAAAATTTTACTGGTTTCGGTGGACCCCCTGCTGCTACATTTCTACCACATTCTTAAAGTCGCCAAAAAATAAAAATTGTGTCACTTCTGAGTTCTGTCTCTATATTCCGATAGGTAAAATAAAATTTTAGAAATTTTGGAAACAAATGAATGAGTTTGCCTTTCGCATCAAGTATTTATAGTGGTGATCAAGTTCATGTCTGAACAAGCATTAAGCATTGTCGGGCGGATAGCGCTTTGCAAGTCTGTACTCGAAATTGTACGTAATATCGAATACGCAAGTTTGGACAAGTAACAGTCGCTTGACTTATTAAAATATTATCTGCTTAGTTAGGTACTTAAAACAATGTAGGTAGGCCCTTATAAAAACTATGCTTACATTTTTGCTCTTTACTATCAAAAGCAGATAAATTTTCGTGGACCCCCATTTTTGGTTCACGCCTACGTAGACCCCCAGCAAGTCTCCCGTGGACCCCTGGGGGTCCACCTGGACCACTTTGGGAATCACTGTTGTAGCTGATGACTAATATTTTGTACCTTACCTTTTTAGACAAGACCTAAATTACTTTGATGATGTAATGCCGTCTTTTCAATACCTAAATAAAAATATTCTTTCTGTTTCATTTATTATTTTTGTGAACGATAAAAATTTTATTATTACAAAATCTTGATTTACCATATGAGTTTTATATTTAAAATACAAGTTCATCTTCGTGAATCGTAAAATCGGCTTATATGAGTCGGTAACCGAATATCAAGATACATTTATTGATATATGTGAATGAAACATAGCATATGTATATCATATATCATATATTATATAGATCGGATCACGTGATGATAGTAACAGATTGGATACACGAATTGTCTGTCGGTATGTTCACTGATCATCATCACTCCACTGGAGATAACAAGCCACCGACTTTACTGATCAATGGGATTGGAAGGTTCAGAATTTTCAATGAAACGGTCAAGCCTATATACATGCAAGCTGCTAGGTTCAACGTTGAACAGGTTTGTGGAAATTCTATCTACTATTTAAATAGATTTTTTAATTTGAATTTGAATAGACTTTCAATAAAATTCATGATTTTTTTCAATTATATTACTAAAGACTCGATAGTGAACTATGGTTTTTCTTTTAAACCAATTGTTAATATTTTTGATAGATTGATATAAGTGTTAAGTGAATTATACAATTATTGTACGCAGGGCTATAAGTACCGTTTTCGTGTGATCAACGCCGAGTTCCTAAATTGTCCTATCGAAATGTCTGTTGATGGACACAATATAACAGTTATCGCTTCAGACGGATACGATCTCGAGCCTATTACTGGTAAGTTATGTTATCAATTAATTTGTGCATTCAGATAAATACATTTCTAAGCACAATAATTATTTTCTTTAGCGCCTTAATTAAATGTAATGCAAAAGCACAATCCTTGAAGTAGTAAAGTTTGTGTCAGTGATAAATAAAATGCATAATTTGTAAATCTTATATTTAATCTTTATTTATTTGTCCCATATCTTTAAAGCTAATTGTGTGACAAGCCATTTATTTGTGTAAGAAAATCTCTTAAATTTATTCATTAAAATAGGAGTTTTAGTTTCGGTGAAATGAATATCTTTGTTTGTTATACAATAGTGTAATAACAACTGCCAACAACAGTGACACAACAAGAATAGGTATAGGTAGGTTAGTATTCAAGCAATCTTTTAGGACGTGTTTCATTTTTTAGTATAAAATTATAAAAAAATATTTTTCAAACACATTCGATAATAAAGAAATACGATTTTATTTCTAACATAAATGGGAAAATCTAATCGACTTTTATAAGACTCCTTATAACGCTAATCTAAAAACTTACCCAATTCTTTATTCCGTTTGCCAAAAGTGGGTTTATATAAAATAATCTGAGTTAATAATTTTCTATTAACCTTAATAAATTTCTGTTTATATTTTTATTCTACAGATATCTTAATCCTAGCTTCTATCTATAAAGAACTAATATATCATAAGAAATGAATAATTTGAAGAATATACATTTAAATTTAATACGTTCACATTATTTTGTATGAAACGAATCTAAATCTGAAGATAAAGCTTTTTCACTCGTATATAGTAGTCGAGAAATATATTATTATTAATATTACTTATATAAAACATTAATATTTTTATTTCAAAGTTTTGCTGCAGATTGTATATGATTGTTTCAGCAACGTCTCTAGTGACATACGCGGGCGAGCGTTATGACTTTGTGATAGAAGCGAATAACGAAATAGACAACTATTGGATTCGCTTCAGAGGACTCATGGATTGCGATGAGAGGTCGGGTTCAAACTTATCATATAACACAATACGATAGACATTTCGATTACAGGAGCTTATTTTTAATTCTCCATCAACTAAATACATCAAATATATAGAGTTATAAATTCGTTAGATTTTCATCACTGATTAAAATCTCGTTATGATAATTAAAATGTATTTAATGTTTAAATCGCTGAATTCCTACATTACACAAACTTGATTGACTAGTTTAATTTCATTCTGTTTTACTTTTAATTAATACTATTTTATATCATATTATATAGATTCACAAAAGCAAAGCAAGTGGCTGTTTTACATTACGAAGGCGCTATGGATTTGGAACCAACGGGAGATCCTACTTGGGAGGAATTGCATAATGAAGGATTGGTGAGTTTTGGATATCGTAAATCGTATAATATTGCTCAATAGTATCACGTAATAATTTAATAAATTATATATTTTATAGCAATTAAATGCTCTTAACAAAGCCGAGGAAGAGAATGAGACGATAAGCGTCGCTGAGATGAAATCGCTTCAAGGTTATGACGACAGTTTGAAAGAAATAGCTGATTATCAGTTTTACGTGGCATATGACTTCTACGCTAAGAACAATTCACATTATCATCGATCACCATATTACGGGTATTACCAAGGTGAGTTTTAGTTTTAACTATGATTTTTTTTTGATTCAGGAAATGTTAAACCTCAACCTCTTTACTCAATTCATTTAAAAGATTAATTAAAATACTACGTATATAAATAAATGTTGATTTAATACTGGAATTAAGATTAAAATAAAAATTTTGAATAAAAAATTCATTGATGCGAGCGGGATTCGTACCCGCCACCTCCGGAATATCACGTTCCAGTTTCTTTGCCAATTAAGCTGTCGAGTCCAGACTCGCCTCTGTGAATTAAGAATTCTTCTTTATCTAGTTGACTTTTAATTTTATAAAAAATCGTCTAAATCTAGTAAATAGCTGAATAATAAATTACTATATTCTATTTTAAAACTCCATGACATTCCTTTATATGAAAGAAAGAAAGAAAGAAAGAGATGTTTCTTACAATGAAACCTGAACGAAACTTTTTATTACAGTACCAAACCCAGACAATCGTCTATACACGCCTCAATTAAACCACATCAGTATGAAAATGCCATCAAGTCCGTTGTTACTATCGCGACCGTCACCAGACAAATTTTGCAACGCATCCAGTATAGACGAATCCTGCAAGGAAGATTACTGTGAATGCTCCCACGTGTTATCTGTTAGGTTGAATTCTGTTGTTGAAGTTATTATTGTTGATGAAGGTGTGACCTTCGATGCCAATCATCCGTTTCACTTACACGGTCACAACTTCAGAGTTGTGGGAATGAGACGGCTATCTAATACGACGACTATCGAAGAAGTCAAGGCTTTCGATGAAGCTGGTCTTTTGAAGCGCAACCTTAAGAACGCTCCACTCAAAGATACTGTGACCGTACCAGACGGTGGTTATACTGTTATACGGTTCAAAGCTGACAACCCTGGTTATTGGTTGTTCCATTGTCATATAGAATTCCATGTTGAAGTCGGCATGGCCCTGATTTTCAAAGTCGGTGAACACAAAGACATGGCGCCGGTTCCTCACGATTTTCCAACCTGCGGAAATTATCTACCTGATAATATGTTGGAGCATGAAACAACTCCAAAACCAAACCCAAGTGATAATCAGGTAATACAGATATCACACTGGTGGCCGATTTATTACGTCAATGGCACATCTTCGGCTATAGCCGTACAAATTTCGATACCACTTTTAAGTATTATATGGATATTGAAATTTGTCACTGGAACGTAATATTTATCTAAAACGTTAAATTTAGTTCTAATAAATCAAATACGATTTCGTACTTATTCATTGTTTTATATTTTTTTTTAGCCATTTAGTTTTTATAGCTATATTTTTTTAGTATTTATTGTCATACTCAGAGTTAATTATTTATTGGGCCGTACTTATATCTATTTATTGATTTTATGATACCTTTTCTGAAATGATTTTGTAAAAAAAAGTTATAAGAAATTCTCATTTGTATTTCGTTAAACTAGACATGATATTATAATGGTTTATATAATTATTGAATGCTGTTATGTTGAGATAGTATTAAAACGATTTAGTGTATTTCTAACCCAGTTCAAAAAAGGAGGGGGTTAACTTTTAAGTATTTTTTACTTTCGTGATTTCAAATCAACAACATTGTTGTCATGACTTGCCAAATTGAGGACATTTAAGAAATGCTCCCTCAACTCTACTAGATGTCGCTGGTGATATGTGATATTACTTAGTTAAGATAATTTTAAGAGGTATTAAATTATTGTTGTGAATTCAATTAATGATATGACTATCATTTAAAAATAAACTTCAATATTGCATATTATCTTTGTTGTTTCCTTTTTCATAACCACCAACTAAGGGAAAATCCAAACTTTTGTCGAATAAAAATTGGAAGGTATTGATTTTAACTTTTACACTCCCTTCATTTTTGCTTAAATTTGAAATTCACAGTAGGTACGAATTGTTACGATTTGCTTTAAATTGCCAGCTGCAATTCCGGTACAAAAAGGTAGGTCTTATTGAGTGTGCCGGCTGACCATTTATTTATAGAAGTCGAATCTCTTGGGTAATAACGTGAAAAATTCCAGAAAAGCTTTGGCTTCGTAGAATTCATAAAGCAACGAAATACAATATTTGACAGAGTTACAACACTGATTTTGTTTTACCAGGAAACAATTTATTTTTTGTTTGTATAAAATGTTGCTTTGATATTTCTGAAGGATTTTTTTAAACTTTAAGTTGTGGTTATTTAATGCTCTCATTTTATTATTATAGAAAATACTTATCTCCGTAAAACCCTACGATTTATTTTTGTGATACAATTGAATTCTTCAGAAGTTGTCCCTTATAAACGATTTTATCTGCCAATAATACACAATATTCACAATTTGATCTGGACACATAATTATTATATAATATACTAATGTTTATATTGCGAGAGATTTTTTTATCTACATCTATAATTTTACATAGGTTAATGTTTTTTATTACCAATAAAAAGATTTTCATAAATAAACAGAAGTACCTCTAATTTGTCATTTCATTTTCGTCTCTATAACTGTGCAATAAAAGCCAAACCGCAAAATCTTGACAATCCCAAAGAGAAAATGATATAGGCTTTTGTCGACTTGCCAATTAAAATGAAATTGCGTGTCGAAGGTAAATGAATATGGGTTACGTGGAAGTAATTCCAGTTGGGCCATTTAAAATAAACCATTAGTATATCATTGTAATACTTATGACATAGTATTAGCAATAAAAAATATTTAATGTCGTTCATTTTAACAACAATTTTGCATGGCCATTCCCAATTTGTAACCCTTCTTATAGTAGGAGAGCTGGCAACAATTTTTGGGTAGGTATTTGAGGCAAGCTGAAAACTTGTCCTATACCTCTCCTATTATACCCCAATACGAAACTGCAGACCTGGCTGGTGAGTAGCGGGGCTAACTCAACCCCTAAATTTTTAAAAATATTATTTTTTAATTTCGAAAAATGTATTTGAGGCAATATGCAATTTTTATATGTTGTAGTTTAATATTTAAAGAATAAAAAAAAATATAAGCCAGATGATTTAGTCGGGATTTTAAAATTGCCAGACGCGTGCAAAAACATTTTGAAAAAAAATACAAAAAATGTATTTGAGGCAACTTGAAATTTTAACAGGATATTATTTATTATTAAAAAATAAGATCCTCAAAAAGACAGGTCATTTCTATGGGTCTTTCTACCTGCCAGGTGATCCAACAACTTATATATAAGTGTGAGTGCGTAGCGCTATAGACAAGCTGTAGCGTGAGGGAGAGCGTATATCGGCAGCTGTCTGCGTCCTTGCTTGCCGCGTTACTATTGGCTCTGACGAGGTCACGTGACATATAATAGCCACGAGGTTTTCAATCGGAATTTTGGAGTAAAAAATATAAAATTTTATGAATTTCTGCTAAAAACGGTTTATATAAAAATGATTGTGTTGATTTATGTGTGTTAAATGGATATATTTTTTGTACAACTTACAAAGCCGACACTGAAGATGAACCTTTTAAGAAAGCATTAAAAAATTGTGATCCCTCAGCTTTACCACCGTGCAAAGCTGAATTACAACAACATCTTTTACGAACGCAATATATAACGAGTATTTGGAGAAATGCATATTTACGATTCCCCAGCTCTTTGACACCGGATAGAAACGGATGGGCACTTAATGAGGATACGCTAGATTTTCACTGGTTTGACGGAGATTGTATACCACAATCAGTATTCGACGCTCTTGTCCATGACAATAATAAACAAAATGATATTGGAAATGTTATTGCAGGTGCGTATAAATAGTCTTTTTTTAATAACTGCTGTATTCGAATTACTATGATTAATTAAAAAAATCAATATATATTTCTTTTCAATATATAGATGATGCAGAGGATGATGAAGCTGACACAGATGAATCTGAAGAAGATTCTGATAGCTCTGATGAAGAATAACAATTCATTTATGAATTAAATTTATATTTTTGTACTCATAATTTTGCCGTTGTATAATTATTTTCTCTCAATAAATCCGATTTTGTAATTGTCTATTTTCGTAATCGTTACTTTCTTTATTTAATACGTTAGCCATTATTAATTTTCACGTGAAAAAAATATTCAATTATGTATAAATTTTAAATTATATATGCTAAAAAAATATGACACAATAAATATATCCATTTAACACACATAAATCAACACAATCATTTTTATATAAACCGTTTTTTAGCAGAAATTCATAAAATTTTATATTTTTTACTCCAAAATTCCGATTGAAAACCTCGTGGCTATTATATGTCACGTGACCTCGTCAGAGCCAATAGTAACGCGGCAAGCAAGGACGCAGACAGCTGCCGATATACGCTCTCCCTCACGCTACAGCTTGTCTATAGCGCTACGCACTCACACTTATATATAAGTTGTTGGATCACCTGGCAGGTAGAAAGACCCATAGAAATGACCTGTCTTTTTGAGGATCTTATTTTTTAATAATAAATAATATCCTGTTAAAATTTCAAGTTGCCTCAAATACATTTTTTGTATTTTTTTTCAAAATGTTTTTGCACGCGTCTGGCAATTTTAAAATCCCGACTAAATCATCTGGCTTATATTTTTTTTTATTCTTTAAATATTAAACTACAACATATAAAAATTGCATATTGCCTCAAATACATTTTTCGAAATTAAAAAATAATATTTTTAAAAATTTAGGGGTTGAGTTAGCCCCGCTACTCACCAGCCAGGTCTGCAGTTTCGTATTGGGGTATAATAGGAGAGGTATAGGACAAGTTTTCAGCTTGCCTCAAATACCTACCCAAAAATTGTTGCCAGCTCTCGGACTATTATATGTCATCATCATTGTATATATCGGATTTACTACATATTCATTGTTTTTACAAAGAGACACGTCAGTTTCACTGAAGTTACTAATATCACTTCCTTCAGCACGTTCCATGTTATTTTAAAACTAAACTTCAATTCTTCTTAATGTCTTTTTATTTCTTGAAAGTTCTATATTCTTCAACGGTCCTCTGTCACTGAACTGTCCTACCAGTTGTTTTTAAAATTGTTTTTAAATTAAATCATTGTTCAGAATTAAGACTTCAAAAGTAACATTAAAAAGCTTTTTTTGTCATCACCATTTCATATAACTATAAATAGTTGTATGTATTTACTTATCACAGGTAATTTTGTTTTTAGCAAAAGAAAATAAACGGATTCTTTGAATATTTTTTTGAATTAGCGATAATCGTAGATGATCCATAACCCATGCAAAAAACGAAGCTGTGTAAAAGATTTTATTATTCAATATCAAATTTGTTATTTAAGGCTTTAAATATGAATAGCTATAAAACATGACAAAAAATAGAAAAATATATATGTGCAAAATACAAAATTCTCTTTACTTTTTGAACATGCTGTATACATATACATAAATATTGCCAAAGAGATACTAGCAAATTCATTTGAGAGTGTTTCTGATAAATAAAAAAAAATTGATATTAATCTGGTTACAACTGATAAGGTCAAAAGGTTTTGTATTAAGTGTCACATTTACTTGAGAATCTTCTGGTTCAGAAGGTTAATTATAATATCATGATGAGGATCCCTTCGAATGTAAAATATTTGTACAATCTATCAAACTATTTCGGAAATTTGCTACTTTAACAATTAAAAAACATATAACTTTTTGTAATGTTTATAATATATATGCAATTTAAATCAGCAAGGAATCGTTTTACAACTACTATTTTTTATTTTATTATGTCCTTATCATTTTTGACATGAATAGCGAAGAAAATTATACCTACACTGTTGTTGTCTAAATATGTGCGCACTTGTCATTATTTTTTTATCACTTAGGAGCTCAAAGACACGTAGAGCCCATTTATCCAGAGTTGTGGAAAAACATCTCATAAAGATAAATGATGCTTTCTTGCAACGTCTAAGATTAATTTCAGTACAACGTATTTTTTTACAAACCTAGAGTATAAAGATTTTTAAAGGTATCATTAGGAAATTTTATACAAAATAATAAAAAGGTATTTTATTTAAATATCCTATTCAAATATGAACTAAAAATAGTTTCATAAACATTTATATTTAAAATAATTAAATAAATTTCTTCACCATTTATCATTATTGACAATATAATAATAATTATTATTTATAGATCATAAAACCAGCATTACACTGCAGCATATGAGTCACAATTTTCTATTC